GGCGCAGTCGCGCGCCGCGCTCCCCCCGTCCCCGCCGGCCCGGCGCGCGCGCTCCCGCGCCGCCTGCTCCCCCGGCATCTGTCCCCCTCCCTCCCGGCCTCTCTCTCGCGCGCGCGCTCTCCCTCCCGCGCCCTCTCCCTCGAGCTCCCGGTTGGCCACGGCTGCCTCGCGCTCTCCCTCTCTCCGGTCTGCTCCGCCGTGCGATGCGAGCTCTGGGCGACCGCGACACCGCCTCTCGCTAGAGACCTGCCCCCCGGCCCGGCCCCCTGCCCAGCCCTGCCCTGCGCGCAGGGGTCGGCGAAGGCGCAGCGGACGCACGGACGGCCGAGGAGCGGCGATGCACACGCACTAGCGGCACCCCCTAACTTGCTCCCTCCACACCCCGCGTCGCCGCCGCCTCCACCTTCTCCTCCGCCTCCTCCGCCTCCGCCTCCGGCAGCCGCTGCTGAAGGACCCACCCTGCCCCCCACCCCACCCTCCGCCGGCTCCGGCTGCGGATCTAGCCTCCTCGACTCTTTTTTAAATTTTGGGTCGTGCACAAGCCTCAGTGCCTGCAGCCCGCGCCTCCGGGCCCGCGGGCGCCTCCTCCTTCGGCTCAGGAGCCCCCGACCCCAGCAACCCTCACCTCGACACCCCCAGACCCCCGCCAGCTGCCGAGCGTCCGCGCTGCTGGACTCTTGTTAGCGGCTGCCTTTTGGAGGGTTCTGGTCTTTGGGCATTTTTGTTCGCTGCCCAGGAGAGAATATCGTGATTTCCCCCCTTCGAGCCCAGGCTCTGCTCCGTGGGGGGGTGGGGGGCGCGCCGAGCCGGGGAGCCGAGCCAGCAGAGTCGTGCGGGCTGTGGCAGGGAAGGGGCCACCATGGGATGTACTCTGAGCGCAGAGGAGAGAGCCGCCCTCGAGCGGAGCAAGGCGATTGAGAAAAACCTCAAAGAAGATGGCATCAGCGCCGCCAAAGACGTGAAATTACTCCTGCTAGGTAAGGACCGCGGCGGCCACCCCCGCCCCGCGACCCTAGCCGCGGCGCACCTCCACCCCGCTGGCGCCCGGGAAGACCTGGTCCCCGAATTGGCCCCACCGTGTGCCCAGGATCACCCACCCCTTCGCATGCCTTAAAGCCCCCTTCCCACTCCCCTGAGCTGACACTCACCAGTTTTTTTTCTCCGTCTGTGTCCCAACAGGGGCTGGAGAATCGGGAAAAAGCACCATTGTGAAGCAGATGAAGTAAGTCCCTAAGGCGCCGGGATTTGTGCTTTTATTGAGAATAATTTTAAAATCGTTATTTACCTTGCTCACTCCACATTGCTCTCCAGACCTGATTTATAATTCGTATACACACAAACACACACACACACACACACACACACACACACTCACACACCTGGCTTTGCCTCCCCTCCCCCACGCCCTACGTTGGTTTGGATCCCCCCCACCCCACCTCCTGTGGTAGGTGTTTAGGGGGAGGGAAGGGGAGCGCCTGTAGTTGTATGAATGACAGTGTCCGCCATATTGATCAGGACATCACACTATTGGCGTGATTATGATCATAACTCTTGCTCGTGGACTATTTCGTGTGTTTCGCTGCCTCCATTTCCGACTGCCTCCTCCCTCCACCCCACCCTACGCCACCCCCCCGAATCCCACTTCCCTCGGTCTTGTCCTGAGGCCGTGATTTTGAACTTGTCTCAAACATGGAGGGAACCAAGCCCTAGTGGAGTGGGTGGAGGATCTAGTGTTTGCTGTTCATGAATTTGGTGCTGAATTGAAAGCTGTAGCTTTGGGACCCCCCCCCCCACACACACAAAAAGAGGGTAAATGTTAGGGGAGGGGGGCGTGCTCTGGGGGAAAGGGTGGATTTCCAAGCAGATGTGACAGGCAGAGGTATCCAAGGTAGAGATGGGAAGGGATGCTGTCTCTGGGCTGAATGAAGGTCCTGGCTGCCCCCAGCCCCTCTCTCCTCCCTGGCTCTCCCAGAGATTGCTCTCCTGATGGGGGCGGTTTCCTGTCACTGTGCGGCCTTTATCAAGTCTATTTATTTACACTCTGCATAGGCCAGGTTCCATGTAATCTACCTCCAATGCGGATTTCAGGCCCCACTTGCCGCCCCCCCTTCCTCCTGCCTTAGCTATCAGTTTCCCCTCCTAATTAACTGGGGGTGGATTTGAGTGATGGTTGGAAATTAAAACAAAATGGGATATTCCTTCCTTTCCACATTTCCCCAATAAGGAGCCTGGCCCCTCCTTCGCCCTGGCTGGCTCGCTTCTTGCCCCATGCTCTCCACAGCTCCCCGTGAGCCCACAGCAGCTTTGCCTGGGCAGGGATGGCCGGCAGGGAAGGGGTGCGCGCCTTCTGGGCCTGTTGGCCCTGCTGCTTCCGTTGGCCTGTCAGTTCAGGAAGGAGGAGTTCGTTAAGACCGTTTAGCAAGAATTCCACGTCGCTTTGCTGTGACACCTTCGTGCACACACAGCTCCTAATTAGAGGTTGCTGTGCAGTAAACAAAAATGATTATTTTTCAACTTGACAGAATAGCCGAAGTAATTGCATCCCGTAGGAAAACAATGGAAAATAAAAACCCCTTTCGAGGGAAGGTGGGTGGGAGACAAATGGTGCTTGCGGTTTCAAAACCAAGAAGAAGAAAAAAAAAATCTTGCATGTGTAACAGGCATGACAAGCGGGTTCCTGACGGCGCCATGATGGTAGGGAGTAGCGACTCGGAGACAGTTTCCTCCATCTGCTTGATATTCTCGTTTGTGTTCGCGAACTCCCAGGGGCTTTCTTGGCTGAGGCCCCTTCGGCTCGCCTCACCCTTCTGAGCCTCTGGTAATTTGGCCTGGGGCTTCTCTGGGGCTTGTGCAGCCCAAATGGATGGGGAGGCGGGACCTGGGGAATTGCTCTTTGCAACAAGATGCATGTTGCATTTACCAGGAGCCCTCGCGGGTCGGGAAATGCAAACCCCGCCACCTCTTTCTCCCTAGGGACAGGTTTCAAAACTTGCCTAGTCTGTAATCTGCCGCGGCAGTCTAGGAGTCGTAGAAGCCTCAGCCACTAGAGCTGGGTGAGGTTTCAGGCGTTGCAAGTGGTGGACAGCGCCCAGCCGAGGCCGGAAAAGTCGATGGGGCTGAGCTCGGTGGCGCTCGGCTCCGCTCGGCTTGGCCTAGGCGCGGGTCTCGGAGGGACTCGGAACTGTTCGGAGCCCGAGTTGCTGCCTCGCTGGAGAGGGCCGAGCAGCTTCGGAAAGGGCCGGAAGACATTCGGAAACCCTCGGAAGGGGAGGGCAAAGTAGGAGGTGAGGGGGGGACTAAAACCTGCAAATTAACTTTTCTCCACCAAAGCAGCTCGTTACCTGCTTTTCCTGAACATGCCCCATAAATTAGGTTGATTTAATAAGAAATTTAAAAATATATACTGAGTTCCCCAAAGGGTAAACCTTGCCTCCTTTATTCAGAGAGATCTGAGTTCTCTCAGGAGATAGGTGTGCCACTTTAGAATGGAAATTCCTAATTAAGTCCTGGGGCAAGAAATCGTAAAGGAAGGCTGTGTGAGTCCTGAGGAGAGCCCTGTGCATCTGTATCTGGTTAGTGAGAGGGGGGTGAAGTGTCTAGTGTTTGAGTCCACTAAACCAGAAACCAGAGTATTTCTTCTCTTTTCCTGCATTTTTCACCTTCATACTCACAGGACTCCCCCTCCCCCCCCCTTTTTTTTTAAAGAAAACTGCCAGGTAAAACAGATTTTTGTAATCGATTGTTTCTTTTAAAAAGCACAGTATACCAACTCTGGTAAGGAAAGAGTTGGTTTGCTCAGAAGGTCAGTCAGAAAGGTGTCTGGTCCATGTCGTTTTGCCCCAAGGGAACCAGGTGTCCTGTCCTCTTGAAGCATTCATGAATGACGGCTTTTCCTGCAAGCTTGGCTTGAAATAAGTCAGATCAGGGCCTTGTGCCAGGCTGGATTCAGAACTTGTTTTATTAACCACAAAATGTGAGATTGGTGTTACTGTATCCTAGTGGCAGATCCTTTGGAGTCCTCATTTCCAGAGATGGGTTTTGAGATCACCACTTGACTGAGAGTATTTGGAGTCAGGAAGAATGTACTTTCTGGGTGGGGCCAGGCCAGAAAGTAATTTCCTGCTTCCCTGTGCACTAGGATTGGTGACAAACCTTTTATTTAGGCCGTGTGTGTAGGTTAATTCAAGTGCTGTGTTACTTCATCTAGGCAGATGATATTGATGTTACGTAGTCCTTTGTGGGTGATGCCCCGTGAGAGCCCAGTGTTGTCCTAATGGGAATTTGGGTTTAGTAGCACAGCCCTTTGGGTTGGGAGGAAGAATATTGATCTTCAGACATTACCAGATCCTTTTTCTTCAGCAGTTCCAGAAGAGCAAAGTGCATTCTACTCAGCCTGTGGTCATATCCAGGTTGTGCTGTGGGGATTAGGAAAAGGAACAGGAGTGTGTGTTGGTAGTAGCTTAAATTAAGCCATTAATGACTGGCAGACAGATGCTGCTGGGAACAAAATGTTACCATCCTCATCAGCCAAGAAACATTACAGAGCTGACCTTTGGAATTTTTCTGCTCAATACATGTCATAAGGGGAAACTTGTGTCTGCTTTAGAGGTGTCATGATTTGACAATCATTTTAGAAACCTAATTCTCAACACTTTAAATTTTAATGTTTATTATTGTGTGTATGTATATGTATGCATATGTGGAGGTCAGAGGGCATCTTTGTGATGTTGGTTCTTTCCTTCCACCTTTATGTGTGTTTGGGGGATCAAACTCAGATAGCAAGGCTTTCATGACAAGCGCCTTTACCTGCTGAGCCATCTCACTGGCACCCCCCCCCCTTTTCCTCCTTTTGTGCATGGGTTGGGATTAAGTTTTTGGGCGCTCTCTGCAATGGTGACAAGCGCCTTTACCTGCTGAGCCATCTCACTGGCACCCCCCCCCCTTTTCTCCTTTGTGTGTATGGTTGTGAATTAGTGTTTGGGAGCTCTCTGCCATGTGATACGGTACATTTCAGTTTGGCTAGATAGTGACAGCTGAGATAGCACAAGTGTAGTTTACACATGCTGTGAGTAACCAGTGCTTCCTTTTTTCTCATGGCACTTTAAATAGTTTTGCTTGCTTTAGGAGTTTGTGACCTCACCTTTGACATAACCTTGTCATTTTGCAGGCAATCAGTGATGTTCTTAATCAGTCTAATAAAAAGTTTTAAAGAAAGTATGAATTTTATTGAGTTTCTGGACCCCTGTAAAGAAATCTCTTAGAGTTATGTTTTACAAGGCATAGAATCAATAGAATATCATTTAAACTTATTTCCCAGTTCTAACATCAAGTAGCAACTACTTGGACTATATACCTGATGAAAATGGGAAATGTCCTGTGGAATTGTTCCCAACATTACAGTTTACCCTTATTCAGCATGCTGAGTTTGCTAGGATGCTGAGTTCAGGCTCTGTCTATAGAGCATTAGATTAAGAAAAACTAAGAGTTTGAAGCTGGCAGAAAGGCCTGACTTACTAGCTGGTATACTTCACTCAAACAACAAAATGGAGCATTTCAGATATACTTTCATTTCTGAGGTACCTGTTCAGTGCTTTTTTAAATTTGGGGATATGTCTGATTAAAGTGTTACTGCTTTTACAAGTATTCCAGCCTTTATGGGTAAGATATCAGTACACCACTGTCAGGGAAGATGGTGGTCTTGAAAACGGTCACCTGCTGCCAAATAGATGATGGTTTCTCCCTCCAGCCTCCTTCACTTTGTAATTAGGGTGTTGAGACTATTCGGTTTACATTCAAGCCTGTATGCTTTAAACACCCCTCTGTTCAGCACCCACTAAGGGACAGGCATTAGCAAGGCCAGTGGCAACTTGCAGTCATTACATTGTAAAAGTGCAGCCATCTAAAAGGGCGTTTCCTACCCATGCTCAGAGGTCTCTTATGGAAATAACAGTCGACTGAGAGCTATGCTTCTGGATTTGTGGGCTTGTTACTGCTGCAATCACTTCATTGGCTCCTTTGCCTCCTTCCTCTCCTTCTGTCTTCATGTTTATTCAAATTGATGCACCTTCCTCTCTGGAGACTGAGTGCAAACAGAATGTCAGATCAAGTAGCAGATGAGTTCTCCTTTCTGATAGATGGTGCTCTCTCCCTCCTTGCTGTTCACTGAGCTGTAAATACCAGCAGACCTTCTTGCCAGAAGAGAAGCAAGCAATCCACCTGATC